TTATTAACCCCAACCCCAAAGAACAATTCCAAATTCCATAGATAAAGTGAAAAACATCATGTTAAGCGTGTTCTCCACCATTAAAGTCTATTATAAGGAAAAAGCTTAACGTGGCTTAATGTACCTTAACAAATGAACTGTACAATTGTATATGGAATTGAGACTCATCGTTTTTACAGTCGTTAGTAGGGTTGCATGGTTTACCGGTACTTTGGTATTATCGCGATACTATGGCTCCAAAATAGTGGTGGTGCCACTGTAGTTTGTAAATGGTAGTTTCGTCATTAATGGTTTATCTACAATGGATAATGTATGAATGTGGAAAAATCACTAAAATGCTCACATGTTTGTGAAACAACAGACTATTTTATTTGAATAGACTGTGGAGCCCTTTAAGTTTGCAATACTGTAGAATTTGCACCTTTTATGGTAGCCAATTGCACATTTTCTAACGCTTCAGTTCGAACGCACATCTGAATCAATTAATTTTTGTTCCTGTCAATATGATTTAGTAGCTACAACAACCACAACAATCTCTTTTTCAAAGAGATCAAGTTAAAGCAGGGTGAATCAGCTTTCAGCCACTATGCCCCCCGCTGCTGGAATCAGCTTCCAGAAATGATCAGAAGTGCTCCAACATTAGGTATGTTAAAATCAAGACTGAAAACACATCTGTTTAGCTGTGCCTTTACTGAATGAGCACTGTGCTGCGTCCGACAGATTGCACTATTAGGTTTTTCTCTTCTTCTTCATTCTTTTATATCACATTTTACCTGTTTTTATGTTGTTTTTTTTACACATTTTTATTATTTGTTTTTATTTTAATTTTACTTGTTTCTTTTATTTTTGTTTATGTAAAGCACTTTGAATTGCCACTGTGTATGAAATGTGCTATATAAATAAACTTGCCTTGCCTTGCCTTTTTAAGAGCGACTCACAAAGTGAAATTTTAAATTACTTGGAATTGTCACCTGATAACCTGAAAACCCCAAAAAAGCAACAGACAACACTTAAAAAATTGTTGACTAATTTTCATATTGCCTAATTTTGTTGGAAAAATGCTCTTCTGTAACAAATTTCATTCTGTATAATTTGTATGTTTATTTAAATGCATTTTTAGTTGGTCAGTTAGCTACAAAATAAACAACAACAAAAAATTTAGAAATTTTGTGTGGGTGCAAATAATACTTTTTGGCCTTAAAAGTGCAGTATGTGATTGTCTTCAAAAAAATGTTTTGTTGTGCTGGTTGAAAGTCTCTTCACAGTTCAATAGTAATGATTAAAGTAAACGATCTAAATGTATTTATATGTATTTTTATATTCAGGGTTAGGCATAAAACTAAAAAATGTAAATGCATTTAAATATTGTCGGACCGACATCTCCTATAATTCCGATAAGTAGTTCAAGCTGTCTGTCAGCAAATGCAAATGCAGATTCGGACTTCTGCGCATCTGTTCACGCAGATCCGCCATTTGCGCATGCCCGTCTGCATGAGCGCCGCATGTTCACAAGACAATTACAGACACGGTGAAACCAAATGCTGAATTGAAACTTTTGAAAATCCTGAATCAATACTGGAGTTACTTTTGCACGCTGGAGGAAGGACGACAACATCACAGCTGAACTATTACTGTTAGACAGGTAATGTTCCGTTTTAAAACTATTTTAGTCAAGCGAAGCTTGTGTTAGATTGTGTTCTGTTATGAATGCCTTATATGCACAGACGTGTTGTTCAGTCACTGAAATCTCCCGGCAAAAGATTGATACGACTATTTTTAGTTTTTTTAAGGGACCTTTGACAGCATCGATAATGGAGATATTTATTTAGTTTAACAACAAAACATCAGTAAACAAAGCTATTCCGCCTAACCTGCTTTATTGAGCTGTAGTTGCTTTTATATTCACATTGGATCATTTAAACAATGACAGCCTTCCTATACTGTTTACCATGCTAATCTGACTGGCGATGACATGAACTAGTGGGTTGCCTGCTGTTGTGACACGGTGCACGCGTTCGCAAGTTTAGGAGTGTGGCTTTGAATCACAGTCCCTCCTCGCCGTCCAAAGCTACTATGCTAAGCAGTTAGCATTTTGGCAGATCACTCACTGCACCTTTAAGGGAATTATGGATTACATTCAAGTAGGCCTATTCTAGTATAAAATGTAAGATTTCTGACAATTTTATTTAATTTTATTAAACTTTATAATTTAAATTATTAATTACAGTATCGCAATACTGGTATCGTGATACTTTAGCTGGTATAGTATCATAAGATTAATTAATGGTATCATGACAACCCTAGTCATTAGGATTAATTACAAGCAAAGTTGGACAGAAATTTGGGTTTCTCTGGTTGATGTTTAGGTACATTAACCTATTTTAAAGGGCCATGAAACCCCCTCGTTTCAGCAGGGTGTTTTCACACCTCTTCTTTGGAAAAAGTCAGAAAAGTGGGGGTGTCCAGCTCTGTTTAGGGGGGAGTATCGGAGAAACTAAAGTGGGAGGGTGTGGGAGTGTCTATTTGGGCACGCGCGAGTTTCAGTCAAAATACACAGGAGAAAGGGATGGTGTTTAACCTACATGGACATCTGTAGTCGAATTATTTGCCAAATTATTAAATGTCGGACTTTAACTGCAGTTCGGCTCTTTCATTCAGGGAATTCATTCATGCCCCTCGCGACAAATGAGATATTAGATTCGAGGAACTGCTCTAAGCGTGTATTTTTCATGCAATGTTTGATACCGCACGGCGAATGACAGAAAAAAAACTCCGCATTTCCCGGAAACTTAGATGCACACAGCAGGTAGCGTCAGAAAGCCGCGTGTGTTATTCCGGTCACAAAATGCGGTGCTAACATGTTTGCACTCAATGCAATAGTTAACTTATTTGATACGAACAAACTGAATATACAAAGAGCACTGGTCGCTCACTTACCAAATCTGTAGAGACAGGACAATCACCAGCAACTAGAGCCGCGTCTTTATGAAGAGAAGACTACATCCGGAATCCGGATTTCAGCGTTTGCAGATGAGAACAGCTCTCAGGTAAACAATAATCCCCCTTAGACACGTAAATTATTGTTGTCGAGCGTCGCGTACACTGTTAATCCACACGTGATCCAGATAAGCTCTCACAGAGAGAAAATGAAAACGAAACTTAATGGCAGCAAACTGTAAAAGCAACACTTCACGCTTGTTTTGCCAACACAACGTGGCGTCTCTGTGGTGTAAAGACGGTGACACTAATGAATATTAATGAAGTTGCACAATAGAGCGCGCTGATTGGTTTGAACCAAGCCTTACTCATGCATTAATGCATCACACTGTAAGACGTAATAAGGCACACTCTGGCACAGACGCCCAGTCTGCACGCTGGAATACACGCTATTATGTCATGACCGTGACGCAGCTTCAAAAATTCGTTTCAAACAGGAAGTACGAATTTGCTTGAAATAACGCAAAAACAACCAATTTACACTTTTTAGTGAAATATAGGTGTCCTAATAGTGTTTTTAGCAGTGTGGGACACATATACGACTGTCAACAGCTCAAAAAATGTGTTTTGGTGTTTCGTGACCCTTTAAGCTTTTTTTCACATTAAGTGTTTTAGAATGTCCCCATACCTTACCTCAATCCCGGCTGAGAGACTAGAAACCATACATATTGAGGTAAAGTTCAGGGCTCAACAATAAGGACTGCCCGTGGCCCAGGCCAGTGTGAGAGACACTTGGGACAGTAGACCGGATCATTACTGGCCCGATTGGGACAGTTCTGCCTTGTCAGTCACTAACATTTAATTTGTCTGTGACTATTTGTCAATTGCGTGAATTTAAAGCTTGTGCTTTTAAGTCTTTAAATGCTACCTTCTCTGTAATGTCGTAAACAACATATTGCTTTCTGATTCGTCTTATATGATTGATTTAACCATGCTATTTTTTTTGTTACCTGGTAACAACCAGTTCAGCGTAGAAACAGCAACATGTCAGCAACATCAAATTATAAGGCTAAACGAAAATGTCTGTCTCTAGCGTCTTGGAAGTAGACATTTACATGGAAACAACACGATAAAATAAAAATTTAGTGATGTTATGCATAGTTTGCCGTCAGTTTGACAAGTCAGCCAGCTTTTGTTAAATAATTTCAAACTGCAATAAAATACCTCCACATTTTCCATACTGCTGTTTTTGTTTGCATAACACTTATATTTACAATTGTTTTTTAAGTATTGAAATTCTAGATTTACAGACTTTATTTTTGACACATTATTTAAAATATGTGGCTAAAAAATAGCTATTAACTTACCTTTTTTTTTTTTTGGTGGGGCCAGTGAAAATTTTGGTAGGGCAAGTAAAAATCTAAACCACTTGCCCGATCGGACCAAAAAATCCTTAGCGTTGAACCCTGAAGTTGTTTTTATATTCACACATTCAGACTTTCTTCTTGATAATATAATTTCAGAAAAGCATTCTTTGCCATTTCTAAATAGTCAAAACATTATGGTAGCCATTGACTATCAGTCAAAGTACAACATTGTTTGTAGCGAAATAAATAGTGCTAATGTTGTTTTGAAGTCATGTTTACATGTCACAAGTTGATATTGAAATTTAAAACCAACTTTACATCTATACCATACATTTCTAACCACTACATCATCCCCAAGCAGCTGCTATTTTGTTCAGCATGGTGGACCAGACTGCATCAGATACGATCTGTCAATCATGCAAATATGCATCTAAATCCCAAAACACAGCATATAATACGACCACAAGCATAACATTCAGCACAATAACATGCATGAACTGTCACTTGTGCAAGACTTAACGTTAGATTGTTGCATCAGCTGAGACTCAAAACAACAGTGATAAGAGACAAAAATAGCTGACATATGACGAGCCCAACTGTTTAACGAGCAAAACCACATCGATTCCAAACACGACAGCCCATCGTCAGGTCACACAACGTCGAATTAAATATAAAAAGATGTGTGAATATGCTCACCAAAACGATCGGATCTCCGGTCTCCCTTCTGTCATTCACGCCCAGCAGATCAACCCTCTCTGCCCCCTGTGAGGCTCTTTAAACCTGCTGCCTATCAGAACGTGAAGCCTGCGCTTTATTATCAACCATATCCCGTGTTTACCTTCTCAAAAATACACTTCTGAAAGAAATAAAACTAAACGACAGCCGGCATAGAGGAGTTACGCAATGTGAGGACGAAATGCCGGTTAATCTGGCGCCGGAGGGTGTTTATAGTGGGGAAGGTTGCCGCTCCGCAAGCTGTTGCCATGAAAAAATAGCGGCGTTCTTTTTTCGGGAATGCGCGCAGAGCGGTGGATTTTACGCCAACTGCGTTGGGTCGTGACGTCATGACGTTTATATCATAAGGGTCCGTAGTGTCTCGCTTTTGTTTTTGCGGTATTTGATATTTAATTATTTTACTGATTATGTCTGTATAATAATTTAATTATTTTACCGAAATGGTTTAATAATTATAATCAATTGTTATTTTGTAGTTGTTTTGTCAATTATGATGAAATGTATTTGATTATTGTGCTTATTCTGTTTAAAAATAAATAAATCTAATTAAAAGCACACAATATATAAAATATTTTAATCAGCCAATCACATGAAAGCAACTCAATGCATTTAGGCATGTAGACATGGTCAAGATGATCTGCTGCAAATCAAACCAACCATCAGAATGGAGAAGAAATGTGATTTAAGTGACTTTGAACGTGGTATGGATGTGGTATAGAGATGGGCTGGTCTGAGTATTTCAGAAACTGCTGATCTACTGAGATTTTCATGCACAACCATCTCTAGGGTTTGCAGAGAATGATCCGAAAAAGAGACAGTATCCAGTGAGTGGCAGTTCTGAGGGCACAAATGCCTTGTTGATGCCAGAGGTCAGAGGAGAATGGCCAGGCTGGTTCGAGCTGATAGAAAGGCAACTCACATAACCACATGTTACAACCGAGGTAAGCAGAAGAACGCACAACACGTCCAACCTTGAAGCAGGTGGGCAAGAGCAGCAGAAGACCACACTCCTTTCAGCTAAGAACAGGAAACTGAGGCTACAATTCGCACAGGCTCACCAAAATTGAACAATAGAAAATTGGAAAAACATTGCCTTGTCTGATAAGCCTTGATTTCTGCTGCCACATTCAGATGGGGTCAGAATTTGAGGTCAACAACATGAAAGCATGCATCCATCCTGCCTTGTATCAACTGTTCAAGCTGGTGGTGGTGGTGTAATGGTGTAGGGGATATTTTCTTGGCACACTTTGGGCCCATCAGTACCAATTGAGCATCATGTCAACGCCACAGCCTACTTGAGTATTATTGTCCATCCCATTATCCCCACATTATGACCACAGTGTAAAGCGTGAATCAACTTAGACTGTTTTTTTGAACATGACAATGAGTTCACTGTACTCAAATGGCCTCCACAGTCACCAGACCTCAATCCAATAGAGCACCTTTGGGATGTAGTGGAACAGGAGACTCGCATCATGGATGTGCACCTGACAAATCTGCAGCAACTGCGTGATGCTATCATGCCAATATCAAGCCAAATCACTGTGGAATATTTCCAGTACCTTGTTGAATCTATGTCATGAATGATGAAGGCAAAAGGGGGTCCAACCCGGTAATAAATTGGCGGTGAGTGTATATACACACACAGACACACTAACACACACATTTTTCTGGAAATGTTATAAGATAATAAGTAATTACAGATATTTTTGGACTGAATATGGAGATTGTTTACAATTAATCATCATCATATTTTAGTATTATCTGGTTGTTATCGTGACTTCATATAGTTCTATTATTTATTAACATTTTTGTTTGCTTCTTTGTTTTTAAAACCTTTTGCAACACATTTTTCTATTCAGCCAATTTACACAAAAAATAATGCTCCACAAAAAAAATAAATAATAATATAACATACTGTTGCCTCACAGCAAGAAGGTCACTGGGTCGCTGGTTCGAACCTCGGTTTAGTTGGGTTTCTGTGTGGAGTTTGCATGTTCTCCCTGCCTTTGCGTGGGTTTCCTCCGGGTGCTCCGGTTTCCCCCACAGTCCAAAGACATGTGGTACAGGTGAATTGGGTAGGCTAAATTGTCCGTAGTGTATGAGTGTGTGTGTGTGGATGTTTTCCAGAGATGGGTTGCGGCTGGAATGGCATTTGCTGCATAAAAACTTGCTGGATAAGTTGGCTGTTCATTCCGCTGTGGCGACCCAGGATTAATAAAGGGACTAAGCCGACAAGAAAATTAATGAATGAATATAACATACTGTTAATGTTGCATTATCCCTGCTATAAGCTGCAAAATCTCCTACAAACATGACTAAAACTACAATATTTTTAACAACTTTCTTCTTTGTTTCTCTAACCACAGCTGTAAGCAGTTTCAGCTGTGTAGCCCACACACATTCACCTTTGTCTTTGGTCAAGTTTGTTGTTCTTCAGTGGTCTGCTGACTCAGCTGTGTAGGTGTGATGGCATGACAAACCATGTCTGATGACAGAAGAGTGACAGGATTTATTATGTAAAATGCTATATCATACACAGGGATAAATCTCTGAAGTCCCTTAATTTTTTCATCCACAGCCCTCAAGATCTACTGCAAAGCTTCAACATCTCTGAGCACAACATCCACAACATCCTCCTCTTCTGCCTGCTTCTGAAAATCCTCATAATAAGATGCTGAAAAATAGAAACGTATTTGTCTCAGACTGAAGAAACAGCTATTTTCAAAATGGATGGAATACAGGCAAGAAAAGTGAATTTATCCTCCATTTGTGTCATCTGAGATTAACCAGACTGCTCAGTTAAGTGAAATCTGTGGAAATGACAAAGATACACAGACATAGAGAAAAAAATAAAACATTTTTTTTACTTTTCCATTTTTGTCTAATCATTGGGTTGTTTTTTTATTTTATTAATCATGCAGTATACATTCAGAATAAGGACTGCAGTGAAAACAAAATATTAATACATACTATTTCATTTTTTTGTTTGTCTACTTTTGTTTCTAAATAAAACTCTGATAGCATTTATTCCATAATAACAATTCCATATAACAATATTGTCATTTAGAGCTTTGTCTCTATGACAAAAAAATAATTAATAAATAAATTAATTAATTAAAAATATATATAATTGGTCAGAATGGCTTTTTTCATTTGAGTGAAAATCTGGGTTAATTTACAGGCCTGTAGCCAGCCTATTGGGGTGGTTCTTTTTTTCTCCAAAAGTGGACCTGTTTGCAGTTATTCGCCTAATTTTCTATTAAATTATTGTTTAAATAATGCATTTTATTGACTTTTTAAAGCACTAATATTTGCTGGATTAGCTTGTCAGATGGTGATCATGGCCACACTTTTGAATGCAACAATAATATTTCCTACAATTTTGTCAAAGTGCTTACCATACTATTTTACCACAGTGTTTATTTACAAATGTGCAAATGTTACAAATGTTTAGTTATTACAGTTTTATAAATAATATTATGAGATTAGAATTTTAAATTAAAAAAAAAACTGAATATAAAATACTGACTTTTAAAATACAAATTTACTATCATGCATCATTAAAATAACAACAACACCATATAGGAATCTGTTAAAACTTGTTTTAATTAAAAACTGTGGCCTATTGGCACATAACAAACTGACCAGCTCATTTCCTCTGTGAGAATGTGTTTATTTGAATAAATAAAAATTAAATTTTTCTTATAGTCTTCTTCAATTTTACAATTTGTGATTGCATACTGTCAAAAATGGTACAAATGAGCACATACTGTATAGGGACCAAATTCGTGACCCCCCTACAGGCCTGATTTATCAAATGGGACCGCTGATTCTTCTGAAGTTAAATTTCTGTTGGGTAAAGTTACATTTAAAAGTAATTTAATACAATTTTACGCCTAGCTTACTCTTAAAAAACAAATGCAAAAGTAACATGACCATTGAACATGACACATACATTTACATTACTCCTTAAACCAAGGGTCACCAACATGGTGCTCGGGGGCACCAGGTAGCCCGCAAAGATCACATGAGTTGCACGCGGACCTGTTCCAAAAATAGCTCAACATAGCACAACATACCAGTAAGCTGCATCTAATATTTTTGTAGCTATTCGTTTTAAATCACACCTGCATTGGTGTAAATTTTTAATTTACATTAAGTTATATATTTAAAAAAAAAAAAAAACATATTTCATGTTGCATGTTGATATTTATCTGTTTCCTACCTTGTTAAATCATTGTTGACAGCTATTGTGAGAAATCCTTAACATGATTAGTGTCTTCACTAGATGAATATCATTAATTATTAATAACATTAAGTTAAAAGTAAATTTAGCTAATTTGTTAAGAAATGTGTATCAAACTGGTAGCCCTTCACATTAATCGGTACCCAAAAAGTAGCTCTAGGTTTCCAAAAGGTTAGTGCCCCCTGCCTTAAACTGTAACTTGGTAACAAAAAAGTTACTCAAGATTGTTAGATATTTTAGCTTTTTACAACACTGTGAATAACATGCATGAAAACATGCCACTTTTGTTATAAGAATGTTTAAGAAAGGTCTTTAAAAGTAGTATTTTATTTGTACGACACGCATCAGTAGTTTTACAAAACAAAAATTTATTAACACTTCGCCTAGCTACATTGACATGTAGCCCAATGGTAAACATTTAGGTCCAAATAGAAATAATTTACATATAAATCGTCAATTAATAGCTACGCATAATGAACTTTCAGCTTCAAGGTAACGAGCAAATATTTAATGTTCCAGCTGGAGCTGTAGGTTTATTTACTACCGGTGTATGTAGCCTACACGGTACGACTTGTTTGGGCGCTTGGCAAACTATCCTCCGCAAACCAATGGACTTGAATCAGTGGAGCTTCGTCACAGGATGGACTGGAAAAGTACCACAGAAGCATAACTCATTAAAAGTTTAATTTATTACATAATTGCAGTCAAATTCCCTCTAACTACATAAATGTGATATTTTTAGTCAACAGCGTCATCTAGTGATAGATATGGCCAACTGCATTGCGGGGTTGGCATAGTTCACTAAATACTAAAAAAAATCTGTCATAATTTACTCAACTTTCACCTGTCACAAAGTGTTTGTGTTAGTATTTCTTCTGTTGAACACGAAATAAGTTAATTAAAAAAGTGTATGAAGCATTTAGGCTAATCATTGACTTGGCAGCATCACCTACAAGTTATTTTAACAGGTTTCTAACATTCTTCAAAATACCTTTTTTTGTTTTCAGCTGACGAAAAAAAAAGGAAACTCATTTGAGGGTGAGTAAATATAATTATTTTGCATGAACTATTCCTTTTAAATAAAAAATAACCATTTACAAAATAATCAGGTGCATTCAACAGGAAGCTATATCAAATTTAATACAATTACATTTCTTCTTGGCAAAATATTAGATCAGGTGAGTTTATAACAACACAATTCTGAAAGCATCTTTAATGGTACACCATTGCATATGCAAAATGTTATTTAATGGACGCAGGCTAATTTTGTCATCAGCCAAAATGTGTCATATTATTATCATCACAATAATAAAGGAGGATGTAATTATATATTTCCTGAATATCTGTTTTTTGTCCTATAATTTAATCTGACTATTTAACTTCTTATAAAATACACATACAAAGTTAATATGTAATTAATTTAATAATGTGTTAATTAAATTAACATTAATGTTATTTATATTTGAAAATATATCTTCATATCAGGCTGTTTTTTATATATAACATGACATCTTGATATGTTACTTGACTATAGCTGTCACTGGGGTGATGTCATTTCACAAGGAAATTGATATAGAGGGTCCATTATTGGTCTCTTACATTAGTAAAGTGCACATATATAGGCTACTAAACAGTGCAAAAGCGTTCCTTTTAAAAATAGCATCCCAGTTTTTGTAGCAGTCTTTATTTCTGAGAGTGTACCAAAAACATCTCGTTATGCACGTTCACGTCAGGACCACTAATGGGGGTCACGACACGAGGGTCAATCTTTAAAAATCTCCAAAACAAACAACTCCAGGCTTCAGTGATGACATCAATTCCTGGATGGCAGCGCGGCTCTAATTCCACTTCCAAACCGGATTTCTAAAACTGGGAATCGGGGGAGGGAGGAGAGAGGAGAGGCTGGCAAACAGACAACAACACCGGATTGAGGAAACTGACGAGGGCATACAATGTGCAAAACAAACTAGTTTAAAGCTGACAGCCATGCAGCCTGAGCCGCTTCATTCACTGTCACATCCAAGGAGAGGACAGGACCGCTCCTCCCCAACACTGCAGACCCGAAGATCGCATCCAACCCGCCGCTTGCAACCATGCGTGTGTTTGCCATCCTGATGTTCGTACTGATGGTGTTTTTTGGAGAGACTGAGGCGTGGGGTCCCGGGGGTAAATACGCCGTGAATTGCCCGGACAAATGCAACCCGGCGCTGTGCGGCTCGACGCTGCGCTGCCGGCGGACGGTGCTGGATGACTGCGGCTGCTGCCAGGTCTGCGCCGCGGGACGGGGTGAGCACTGCTACCGCACCGTCTCCGGGATGCATGGCGTCAAGTGCGGACCGGGACTCTTCTGCGACTTCTACAAGGATGAGGATGATTATGGGGATGAATATGGCATCTGTAAAGGTAGGCAATATAGAGTCAGTCTGATCATGGGTGCACCTGCTCGGGCACCCATTGGGAGGTTGGAGGATTCAGCATGTTGTTGTCAATTTTGTGTGAACTGAAATTAAATCTAAATCGAGTGCTACATTTAAAGCATAAATAATAATTTAAATAACGTAGGGTTATAGATAGATCCGATTTTTGTGTGTAGGCTCAGAAATGTTACTTTTATATTGATGAATAAGTTCATTTTTAATATGCCTTTAAAGTGAAATGTTTAAAAATAAACAAAAGAGGCCAAGAAAAGCTCATTTTAGGAGAACATTTCAGATGGCATTTAGAGGTTTTTGCATCTGAACTTCACATATATATAAAGATTTCTTAACTTTTTAACAAATAGACCAATTACTGATTAGCCTATTTATATTTGAAATGATACATGCTATAATACAGATTTAAATGATATAATACAGATTATAATCAACATAACATTATATATATATATATATATATATATATATATATATATATATATATATATATATATATATATATATATATATAGGCCCATATAATGTTATGTTGATTATAATCTGTATTAAACTGTATTCCTTAGTTATAATAAATTGTTTAACAAGTAACATATCATGTCAATTTTATTTTTGTTCCATTAAGTATTCTAGGTTTGTTTTCTGTGTATTTTTTAAAATATGTTTTTTTTTCTTGAATATTTTACGATGAGGATAATAAGACAAAGAAAATAATATAGTCTAATTAAAAATAACCACAAAGAGAACTTTAAAGCAAGAAATATTTATAATAAAAATAGTTAATAGTTTAATTCCCCTGTTAAATAAAACAAAAATTCAAATTGATAATCAACAATGTGTGGAAAAAAGCTTAAAAGTATTTCTTATAACTATTCATTTTTTTTAAAGTAAGATGACATCACAGCTTTGTGTGTTTAATACAATTTCTTTATTTCATTCTTTAATTAGTTAAATTTTTCTTTCTTTCTTTCTTTCTTTCTTTCTTTCTTTCTTTCTTTCTTTCTTTCTTTCTTTCTTTCTTTCTTTCTTTCTTTCTTTCTTTCTTTCTTTCTTGCTTAGATCAAAAATAACTTAAAGTCATCATGATCTCAGCTGACAAGTCTAAAGACAGTTGTTCGGCAAACTATAAACTCTTCAGCCCTTTATTAGTGTCTTTTGTGTTGTCCTTCTTGGGCCCCTAAATTATTACTTCAGGTATTATGTAAGATCAACGTGAGTTGGTGAATTAACACTCAATGCTTTGTATCAGGGAACACACTCGATCATCAGACCTTTAACTGAGCCTCACACACAAATCCTTTAACACTTTTGAACCTTAAACACCAATACTGTGATCAACAATGAATCCTTCCAAAAATATGGTAAATGCACTGTACATGAGGTTTTTAGTTGAACCAAAATAAATGTGACTATCAATATTAAACTGACTTAAAAAACTTATATTACTTAAAAAAATGTAGCTGAAGTTAATTTTTGTAATCAAGACTCAGCGACTATATAATGTTTTACAATGATTTAAGCAATCCTGAAATGAGAAGTAATATGTTTGTGTTTCTCTTATTAGACTGCATGTTTGGAACATATGGTATGGAGTGCCGGAAAACATGCGACTGTAAAGCTGGTGGACTTTGTGACAGAGAAACCGGCGCTTGTCTCTCCTTTAAAGTTCTGGCTAAAATGGCCATGTTGAAATCTCATTCAAATGAAGGTGAGTTCATTGCGGGAAGATACTTTAGAGCCAGGTGAAATATGACAAAATCCCTTTTTAAAAAGTCTATAAAAAATTGCTATAAAATGTATCTATTGCGAGTAATAATTCACAAGTGTTTCACCCATATTTTGAAAGTTATTATTATTATTATTATTATTATTATTATTATTATTATAGGCGGTTTATTCTGCTGTGGTGTCCCCTGATAAATCCGGCACTTGGCTAAATTAAAAGGAATTAGTCATTATTATTATTCATATTATTATTATTTTAAGTTGATAAAAAAAATGCAAAAGAAATACACAATGCTGGATTTGACTGGATTCGAATTCATTCATGTTGTCACAACACAAATTAAGCTAGCTTAATATTTTTTTTTATAAATTTAAGTGGATTGAACATAAAACAATTCAGTTGGCCCCTTCCCAAAAAGAAAAAGAATTGTGTTGATTCAACTCATTTTAAGTAAGTAGTTTGAACAAGCAGCAAATGTCATTTTTGAGTTTTTACTTGTAATTTTCTGCTTAAAACTTGTAACTTACAACTACACTGTAAAAAAAAGTTGAATCAACTTAAAATTTTAAGGTGACCAGCTTCAGCACATTTTTGAGTTGACTCAACTTTTATCCCAAGTACTCCACTTGACCCGATTTAAGTTGAGTGAACTCAAAAATGTCCTGAAGTTGGTTGCCTTAAAATTTTTAAATTTTAAGTAGAGTCAACTTTTTTTACAGTGTAATTCCAATTTAATTGTTTTATGTTCAAATCCACTAGTCTTATTTGTTTTATTTCGGCTAGAATGAAAGCAGGTCAAAATTTTTTTAAATTATCTTAAGATTAAAATTATTAGGCCCTTTTGGCAAATTTTTTTCTGATAGTCTACAGATCACATAATCATTATGCAATTACTTTCCTAATTACCCTAGCCTGCCTAGTTAACCTGGTTAAGCCTTTAAATGTCACTTTAAGCTGTATAGTATTGTCTTGAAAAATATTTAGTAAAATATTATTAACTGTCACTATGGCAAATATAAAATATATATATATATAGTCTTTAAAGTGAATTATTTATATATAAGCTATATATATATGTTTTGTAGATTCATGTGTCATTTAACATGAAGTGAAACTGTGTACAGTATCAATTATAATTAATCATATGATTCAATTTATGATTTTCTTTCTCTTTTTTTGTACAGCAGGTAATGAAGTGGGTTCAGGCGACACCAACACTGAAAGCAGCAGTAGTCGGGCCTCCGCTCGCAATTTCCTCACCCCTCGCTGACAGCGCAACAGCAATATCTTTAGTTTACTCAGTGTACATGTAGCATAATAAATTAAAGGACCAAACGGATATATTTTAATATGTTTAAAAAGGTCAAAGAAAATGATATATGTTTTATTCTGTGTATTTTACAGATGTGTATGCCAGTTAATGTATGTCTTTATTCCAAAGCATATCAGCATGCATTCAAACACACACTGTAAACACACACACCCACACACACACACACACACACACACACACACACACACACAAACACACACACACACACACACACACACACACACACACACACACACACACACACACACACACACAAACAAATATCCAGCAGAGATTAACTAGACAGTAATAATGTTCCCTCGGGATGCATTTTACTGATACACAAACATAAGATGACATAATTTATGAATGTATAACAATTAAACCTGCAGCGGTGTTCATATTATCATATTTATTACACTCAAATTACAAGATTATATAGCAAGACTGATTAACGTCACATTAACTTTACAGTTCACAGATATGGCATCCCATATTTGACCACAAGATATATGTAATGCAGTGTTTTTAATGTGGTATATCAAGGCCAATGAGATTATTATAAATTATGGACTGTATATCCTGCTAATTTTTGTGTAAATTATTATTTGTGTTTATTAAAACTCTGTTGAACAAGATATGAATCCTTACACATTTATACTGTAAGAGATTTTACCCATGTCATTCTATGAGAATGTCTCTTGGATTGTTTCTTTTTTAAGTTGGAATATATATGAAACATTTTTAAAAAATTATATCTAATGTAGTAAGGCTTTTTTATTTATCGAAGAAAATTATTTGAGTCGTGAGCTAGTAAATTGTTGAAGAATGAGAACTGTTTATTGTGGAGAAACACTGAGCCAAGTCATCATAACACTTAGTTTACTGGGCAACATGGTGGCTCAGTGGTAGCACTGTCACCTCACATCAAGAAGGTCGCTGGTTTGAGTCCCAACATGGTCGGTTGTAATTTCCGTGTGGAGTTTGCATTTTCTCCCCGTGTTCGTGTGGGTTTTCTCCGGGTGCTCCGGTTTCCCCCACTGTCCAAAGACATGCAGTACAGGTAAATTGAATAAATGCAGCAAACTGTTTGGAAACATTAAAAGTGAAGAAGATACTTTACATGCAATGACCCAGAGAATGTTTAGACTGCATGTTACTGATGAGAAGATAACAGATGTTTACTCTATGATGATCAAAATAGCCAGAGGGGACTGGCTGCAGACTCGGTGCAGTTAAAATCTGAGCTGCATCCAATGCTTTTTAATGCGCTCACCAAACCCCACCCCTAACCCTACCTGTCACAGTGACTTCACTCACTCCATTGAGTACATTGTGTCTGACATTGCATCGCTGAGTGATGCAATCTCAGCTTGCAACATAAAGGCTGCATCCAGATACAATTGGAAATAGCCTTAACCACTCACTAAATGCACTACAGAATCTTACCTTTACACAAACACACACACACACACACACACACAAATTACATGTAAATTCCCAGCATAATCACTGCTCTTAAGTACTTTTAAAAGGGCTACTTTTTACTTGTACTTTGACATATTTACAGCAGATACTTTTACTCTACTTGTGCTACATTTTTGGGCAAGTAATAGTACTTTTCTCTGTTAGAATATTTGGTTTAAAAATACCCCGACATATAACCCAACTACAGGTTAGCACCTTCCCAACCATGGGTTATTTTAACCCAATGCATTGGGTTATTTTGATTAAATGTTATTTTTTCCCATTCTGGTATTACTATTGCTACTATTACCTTTACTGTACTACTATTAATTTTATAATTATGGCTGGGTAAATAAATAACATACAGAATATTGAAAATGCTTTATTTCCATTTCATTTTAGTTCCAGACACTGGAGACACTTATTTTTTTTGTTAAAATAAATCAAGAATCACAAACAGTGAAGAACAAAGTGCACACAGTTGTAAACTCTGCAAGCAGAAAATCATGTGCAGAATATGGAGCTTTGTGTGCTGTAGAGACTGTCCAGCAGCTGCAGCAGGCTTCACTCAGTGTCCACAATGTACAATACATTTTAACCACATCCGAACGCTTCTAAAAGATGGTATTGGATGGTAAAACGGATATAAAAACCACAAAACGGAAGTAATTTGTAAAAAATAACAACAAAATTATTGGGTTATTATAGCTTAAATCAACTTTAAGACGCAAAAACAACATTATGCATGCATAATACAGCTGTTTTGAGTCAGTTAAATCAGTTGATTGTTGAAATTAAAATGTTTAACCCAACTGGTTGAGTTATTAAATAAATACCCAAATAAAAGTTAAAAACAACTCAACAAAGCACCAAATATTTAACTCAACTGGTGGAGTTATTCATAAATAACCCAATAAAGGTTAAAAATAACCCAACAAAGCAACAAATATGTTTAACTCAATCACTGGGTTAAATAAATAACTCAACGTTTTTTAGTGTGTACTCGAGTATGATTTTTAGTACTCTTTCCACCACTATGAGTGTGTATGGATGTTTCCCAGTACTGGGTTGCAGCTGGAAGGGCATGCACTGTGTAAAACATATGCTTGATAAGTTGGCGGTTCATAATGCTGTGGTGACCCCTGATGATTAAGGGACTCAGCCGAAGGAAAATAAATAAATAACATATGTTGTACAATACAATAACTATTAATATTGTAGAGAGTATACCGGTGCCACGTCGCCCTGGTCAAGGATTCACCCCAGCTGGCACCTCATCAACACTGGATCGATCTCAGCTGGAGCTAATCAAGAGGAGACACACATAAGCCAGCCCCACAGACAAGGAAGACGAGCTTCATTCTTTCATGACTCCCTGCGCTAATGCTTGTGGCTCTCTGTCTCTTACCCACAGTGGACTCCAGCTATTGATCGATCCAGCACCCGAACTCTCACTCTACCTCACCACTTCCCCTGAGCACCTATCCCAAGAAGAGCACCGTATTTACACTGTTCACATTTGTTCACCGTGTAAATAAAGCACCCTCCGGGGAATTGTTTGTAACACCACGCCATTGTGTTTGTGTTTTCCCTCTGCCTCGCTACAATGTATATGTATTTATAAAAGCTAAATGTATTTTTAAAAGTAGGCTAAACAAATAATCTAAATGTGTTGCACATTTCAATTTAAATGCGATTTTTTAAAATCTAAAATGTAACATTAATTTTTATCTAATACAAATATAAAAATACAGAAACAAACAACAAAACAAAACAAAACAAAACAAAACAACAAAAATAAAAATTACTATTTAAAATTAAATACATAAAATAAATACAGGCAGAACTGTAAACACCTCGCTCGTCAATGTCAAAATGACTGAGATGGCCAATCAGGTTAAAGTAGGCGGGGTTTGCTGTGCAAAGCGAAAACTCAAGTTCGCTCTTTTGTGGAGGAGCTGCAGATCCAGGCTGAAATAGAGCGAGGTAAGAAGAAGCAGCGACATATTTGATTTATTACTATATTAAGCTACTGTTGTATGGTAGAATTGTACGAGCAACAGTAATATCCAATCATGCAAACTTTACTTAACTAAAAAAAATGACTTTACCCCCTCAAGTAGCCCGTTTTAAAAGTGACATATTGTAGCATTCATGTGATACAAGGCTATTTCTTTACACAGTGTGACGAGACAGTTAATACACTCTCAGAAATAAGAGACAAATGTGTTTTTCAAAATATACACACGTTTTATAAACACGTTTAGCTAATTAAATAGGCACTACCTTAAGATTCACCAAATATCAAGTTTCCTGACTTTTCAAGAAGAAAAAGCAGAATTTCCATAAAAGGAAAGTAAACACTGGTCGCTTTTGTGCTTTGCATAATATTAAAATGGTTTTAGCCTGAATATCACTAAACTTTAATAGGCAATATAACAAAGAGAACAATGGATAATTTACCTCATACAGTATTTTGAACAAAAATCCGAAGTGGTCATTTTAAAGCCAAAGCTCCTAAAGTTGATATTTTCCTGGCACATCCTTAGTTAACAGTTACTAAGGCTTCAGGCAGCTACTGTAGGCTTCAGACTCCATTTGACGTATAAGTGAAGTCAGTTGATGAGCGTGAAAGGAATAAAATTGAGCTGAAAATAGCCTAACAACAACAATAGGTGTGAAACACGAGATAAAGAAATAATTTGACAAACAAGACTAGAATTTAAAGTGGCAAACAAAACTCCCTGATATTCTTTGACTTCCCAGACTTTTAATGTCTGGAAAAGATCTTTTAAATTGTCATGATATTACAGAAGTTCCAAGAACTATGGAAAACCATGTAATTTGTTCCTTTAAAATTTCAATATGGGTACATTTGTTGGTAATGTACCCTCTAAATACAGTACAAAATTACATTTACTTCTGTAGAAATAACATATGTAAATATTGTAAAATGTCTGCGTACAGTTTAATATTATCACTTCCAAAGAAATTGTCAAACCTTTCACAGTTAATCTTCAACCCTAATTAAACAATACTGATCAATCTAAAAAAGTTCTTAAATTATTTTAACCACTAAAAGATCTTAATCTGCTGACGTAGTTATGTAAAAACCCTTTCAGTGAGAGTTACAAAAGAGCACATAGTCAATACACAGTGCATGTCTGAGGTTTTATTGAGAGTCCGAGGCTAAAGTCAAAGGTGCCTCATACTGAAGCTCATTCTAGCTTATAGAGGAAAGAATCACTGTGTCTGTTGAGGAAACAATGCATGAAAAGAAGAAGGAAAATCCTCTAGAAAAGCTGAGCTCTCTAAAAATAATCTTTGACAGGAAGGTGAATAACTTTTTTGATCGCAAAAAAAAAAAAAAAAACCTAGATGGAAATGACTTGAGCATACATGCTGTGTTGACATGACAATTAGATTTATAATTAGATTATTAAGTATTTTTTAAGGCTGAACAATATATCAATACAATTTAAGCTGTATAGAAGTGTCTTAATAATAATATATACTGTCATCATGGCAAAGATAATATAAATCAGTTATTAGAAATGAGTTATTAAAACTATTATGATAAGAAATGTGTTGATTTTTTTTTCTCCATTAAACAGAAATGGGGGGAGATTAAATAAGGGCGCTAATAATTCGGGGGGCTAATAATTCTGACTTTAACTGTATATCGCTGCAAAGCACAATATTGCGTTGTCAGATTTATTCAATATCATGCAGCCTTAGAATGTTTTGAAATTCCTATTCTCTCCAAGACTGCATTTATTTGATCAAAAAAATATATTATCTGTTAATATTTATAATATTCAAAATAATAGTTTTGTGTTTTATGGTGAGGTAATGTAATCCTTTCATGCAATTTTGAAATCTGGGGCTTCTTGGGTCCTATTTTTTTCATTTAGAATGAAAGCATTCAAATGTTTTTTAAATTGATCAATTTTCTCTGTAGATTCAATTTACATATTTTTTAAATGCCATTTTTTAAAATAATGAGTATTTCCCCAGCAAGGAGATACAAATATTTACATTCATATATTCTAGGGATTTTTACAGAGGATAACATTTAATCATGATTTGACAAATTATATTTTATTATACTCTTTTTTTTTCAGGCTGTTCACTCTATTTTATGAATTATTGAGTGTTAAAAGAGATTGTAAATTCCACTATGTGAAACATAGTCCATAATATGTTTAAAAAAAACCCACAAT